ATCACTATAGGTCTAATCAATAATCACTATAGGCCTAAAAACTATAGGTCTAATCACTATAGGCCTAAAAACTATAGGTCTAATCACTATAGGCCTAAAAACTATAGGTCTAATCACTATAGGTCTAATCAATAATCACTATAGGCCTAAAAACTATAGGTCTAATCACTATAGGCCTAAAAACTATAGGTCTAATCACTATAGGTCTAATCAATAATCACTATAAGCCTAAAAACTATAGGTCTAATCACTATAGGCCTAAAAACTATAGGTCTAATCACTATAGGTCTAATCAATAATCACTATAGGCCTAAAAACTATAGGTCTAATCATCAGGAACACATTCAGTACCTGAGAGTCTTCAGACTTTGGACTGAGTGCTCCTTCTGAGATGAAACACGTTTAATCTGGGGATTTCTTATCTGTAAAATCAAGTCAAACAAACTGTACAGATAATTATATCCAAAAAGATTCAACAAAGTCTCTCCAAGATCAACAAAAGTGTTATATAAAGGCAAATGTGGGTAGTACTCAGTTACATTTACTCAATTACATTTACTTGAGTAACTTTTGAAAAGAAATTGTACTTTTCAAAGTACTTTTAAAAATGACATACTGTACATGTTCATCTGCTCACACATGAGCAGGATAGAGTAGCCAAGAACTCCACTCAAGCAAGAGTAATGTTCATCTTCAAAATAATATTACTCAAGCAGAGGTACAAAGTAGTGGTCCAAGAAATTACCCAAATAAAAGTAAAAAAAAGTATTTGAGAAACGACTAATCAAGTAGAGAAATTTGAAGAGCAATCGTCGAGATGCAACATCTGATTCATAAGTTCATCATTTTATCATCATCATCATTTCATATTGTCAAAATCAAACTTTTGTCACTTACACTCACTCATAGTAAGAAAAGGAACCAAAACTTGAAGTAACTTGTAACTTGTACCGTAAGAGTAACTGAGTAAATGTAACTAGTACAATCCTCTTCTGCTCGTGTGTTGGTCAGAATTGTCTTTTGACTAGTTTTCTTCAAACCTGCATGGTTAGATGACACTTGGAAACCACGTGAAAGTCTATCAGGCAGTCCAGGGCAAGTGCTTTCCTACCAGTACTGGAGCCGTGCATGCTACTGGAGACTGTGGAGCTGTATCTGTACGTGTACGTGAGGCCCGTGTGAGAGGACCAGTCTGACCCAGGAACAACATCTGAGGACAAAGCACACAGGGATTACAATATGTACTACCTGTTTAATCAGGGCTGGAAAGTAAACTCAATAGAAATACTCCTGTTAATGTAACTGAGTATATTTTTAAACTGTACTTGTATATTTTTAAACTGTACTTGTAATTAAGTACATTCTAGGGCTGGGTCATGTGGCCAAAATTAAAATCTTGAATTTTTTTTGCACATTCTGGATGACTGCAAAGGGAAAGCTCCATATCCTATTTTTTTTTAAGAAGTTATAAACTTCCTTCAGTTACATTTGTATACAGTATGTAACTTGATTTTAATAGTTTAAATTAGAATGAGATTATTATTATTAATATTATAATAATGTTTTTTTTTTTTTTTTTTTAAGAATGCCAATTGTTTAATTGTACAATAATCTGATTTACATGTAAGACAGATGCTGAAAATCACATTTTGCTATCTAAATAAAGACCTCATCATCATTGTGATATCAGAATCGGTATTGAGTATTGAGTCTGTTCCTTAGTATCGAAATCAAGTTTGAAATTTTTGTATCATGATGACATTAATTATTAGATTTTACATTCTCACCAGAACAACTGGAATCACAGAGTCTTGTCTCAGCTTCACGAGAATCTCCAACTGCACAGACGAGTTCAGAAGTCATGCCATTCATATCAAAACTTGTACAATAATATCTCCATATGTAACTGCAGTATCTTGGTATACAGTATTCTGATGATCAAGTATGATTCAAAATGTGCGGGCAAATGTCTTGGTTGAGGTTCAAGTCTTGCACAAAACATGAATGGACCATGTAAGCAGAAGTGGGTAGTACTCACATTACACATATGTTTAGTTAAGTTATTTTACTTGAGTAACCTTTTAAAGAAATATACTTTTCAAACTACTTTTCTAGCAGCATACTTTTTTTTACTCCTATTTCAGTAGTATTTTTATTGAAGTAACAGTACTCTTAGTTTATCTCATTTCTTTGTTTGTCCTTTGAAAATACCAGATATTGTGCGTTTTCCAATTACATTCACTTCAAATTATAACTCAAATATTATGTCCTGACTATATAACTATATAGTCAGGTCAGGTTGTATATAAGTCCTCTTTAAGTTACTCTTACTTAAGTAGTCGTTTTCCTCAATACTTTAGTAATTTCTTGAACCACTACTTTGTACTTCTACTAGAGTAATATTATTTTGAAGTATGTTACTCTTATGTGAGTACAATTTTTGACTACTTTACCCACCTCTGCTTAAAAGGAGTCAAAGATTACACTAGACCATATACTCCATATACTTATTTTGAAGATCTTCTTAACCACAAATGCAATATTCACCTCTAGTCTTACATTTTTATTTAACAACAACAACAACAACAAAAATGCTGTTACTCACCTTGAAACTGGAGCAAACCTAAAACCAAAGTCAAAGTATTTAGGAATAATAAGAACATGGCTGTGGAGCGCAGAGTCCCACTGGTGCAGCTACACACACCACACTGACTCAGCCTCAATCAGCACACATGTACCGGGGTTCCAGGAATGACCAATGCTCGTCACAGCAGCCAATCAGGAAAGAACTCCAGGAACGACACTCCTCACGGTGACCAATCAAGCTACAAACACGGACCCAATCACAAGCTCCAGGAACCTCAGCACTCTTCACATAAAAAGACATTTAAGTTCTATACACTTTATGAGTCAGAATTCCCTTCACACATTTGGTTATATTTTTGCCCTGTTTTAGCTACTGTGTGTAAGTATGGGGACAAGTGTATAATAATCTACCACTGAAACCTAATTCAAATGACAAAACGTGACAATTATCATGATTTAGTACCAAAAGCTAGCCACAAACTACCAGAAAATATAAAAAAAAAATACCCTAAGTTTAGTCAAGTTTAATCACAGTGAAAACATAGGACAGTAGAACTACATATAAGCCAAAAAGTTAGTCTGGTAGTCATGATGATCATGAGGGGCTAGCACTCACAGCCAGAAGGTTGTGGGTTTGTGTCCCAGTTTCCCCCGTCAACCAAAAACATGCACCATAGGTCAAAGGTGGTCCTGACCAAGACTAGCTCCAGATCTAGAGATATGTCCCTGGGTGCTGTACTGTGGTGTGGATGGGTCAAAGGATGGGTCAAATGCTGAGCACACATTTCCCTGCATGGCAATAAAGTGAACCTTTAGCTACTGTATACCATCTACTTCAAATGACATAATAAAGTGAGATTTAGTAACATTTAAAGATGCATTGTGAAACTTTTCTGGTGGAGGGTCAAATGCTTTTCTCTATAGAGATGTTATTGCTTCGTCTGGAATGTTTCACAGTGTGGCATTAAACCTATCTATCTATCATGGAGACCACACCAGACCAAGTTAGAATAGAAAGCCTTTATTACCATTATTATTGTCAAATTCAGAAGTTACAGGTCAGATCTGTGGAGAGGCGAACCCGCTCACAGTCAGAATGTCTGTTTTTCTAAGTATTTTTGAGCTGTAAAACCACCTGTAATTTAATAAATGTAAGGTAGAGCTGTTTAATGTCACACTGTGGAACATTCCAGTCAGAGCAATGACATCTCCACAGAAATAAGCAAGTGATGGACCCCAAAGCAAAAAGTTTCACATGTTTTATTAAGCGAAACCTTTAAAAGCATTAAAATTGAATTTGAAAAAAGTAAGGCCGGGTCTTGACACTTCACCCACATTGCCTAGTATGAAAGAGGTGTGTGTGTGAGTGATGGTGGTGGTCGGAGGGACCGATGGCGCAGATTGGCAGCCTCACTTCTGTCAGTCTGCCCCAGGGCAGCTGTGGTTACAGTAGTGGTTTACCACTTGAGTAAATGAATAATGATCTGTAAAGCGCTTTGGGTATCATGAAAGGTGCTATATACGTAAATGCAATGATTAATTAATTAAATTAATTATTTTAAAAAATAGACACAAACACTAGAAAATGTAAAAAAAATATGTGTAATCATAAAGGAACAAACTATGGTCTAGAACCTGTTTAACTTTTAAAAAAGAAACAGGAGAAACTTGAATGAATACAAGAAAGTGCAATTTTGGTTGAGTTGTTCCCTTGGCTCAAGCACAATGACTTAGATAAGATTAAAACTGCATCAGTAACGTTTTTGAGCAAAATAAATAAATAAATAAATACATAAATAAAATAATAATAAAAAATAAAATAAGGAGCCTTTTAACCAAAATTAGCGTAAACAATACACTTATCTTCTGTCTGTGCCACAGTTCAGCTTTCACTTGGAACCAACGCTAAATGACTAAACCATTGATTGTAATTTTGACCAAACAAAGCGTTTTATCCAGGGACGCCCCGCTGCTCAGCCACTTTCCCCACGCTGCTCCTCCACGCCCGTGCGCCACGTCACTCACGCTGCGGATCTGCGCTCTTCAGGAACCTGGGACCAGACAGATATCGTGTCACATCTAAGAAAGTATTTACATTTTAGTTTCCGATGATACGAGGAGTTTTGTGTTACGCAGTTCATTATTTATCTGAATATTTGTAACGAACATGTGTATTGAGTCAGTACTTTTAATGAAGGTGACGTTATCAAATCATATTATTAAGATCAAACATTTGTGATCAAACATGCATGCGGGTTGAGACGTGAATTCTAAAACTTGTGACAAACTTTCCTACCGAAATGATGATGATTGCTGTGGAGAGGCATTTTGTGCGCAGGCCTTGAACGCTCCCTGACGGAGCAGGGGGCGTGTCGCGTCAGGTTTCCGGTTTACAGTGAATCCGGGCAGGTAAAGGCAGGTGCGCCCGAAACAGAGACAGGTGCGTGTTCTTCTGTTGAATTCTGGATGTCAGTTTAATCCCTGACGATCACTGCTTTGTTAGCGCGCGTGTGTGTTTGTAGTGTTTAGTGCTGTTTGGAAAGGAACGGTGTGTATTCTGGATCCAGCAGGTCCGAGCGCCGAAACTGACCCGAGCGCCGAAACTGACCGCCTCTGCGGCCCTGCTTTTACTCACGGAGCACAAACAAACGCGCAACACGCTTTTTTGTGTTGTAGGCCGAGGCTCAAACGACATCTCTGTCTCTGTTACTGCTTGAGAAGTCCCTGCATTAGTATATTGTTTTTATATAGCCCAATACTCTGAAGAGGAAATGCGCCGTGTGTCGATTGAGCCTTATTGACTGACGCACAACACTGGCACAGATTAGACCAACAGCTTCACCTGTACTTCTTTGTGCTCCAGTGTGTGCATGTGTGTGCAGTGTGTGCAGTGTGTGCAGTGTGTGCCCTCTGTGCCCTCTCTGGCAGGCTGCTGCCGTGTCCTCTGGGTTTTTAAATGGGTACAAATGGCCTTTATCAGTCTTCTGCTCTGTATTCTGAACATGACGTCATGGTCAAGAGAACAGTCCAGTTAGACAGCCTTCTTCTGACCAATGTAACGAGCAAAATGTCCTGATTGCAGTCCTGACAGCCCCAGCTACACCGAAGTACGGTGAAATGCAGATGCCGATTTTCCCACAGAGATTTATTCTTGTACTATCAAATCCCTCCTGTGATAATGGACATGTTACTGCTTTGTTCAGGTTTATAATGTTTAGTTAAAGGTAGTGCACATACGTCCTTTATCACTTTACTTGGATCTCGCCGACTTTATAAGCCTGTGCTGTCAGTCTTTAAGGTGAGACTTCCAGCTATATCCTGTAGAACAGAATATGAGCTTTCCCAAATCAGTAACGTGTTCCTATCTGTATGCTACTTGGGCTATGTTTTGGCAGAACGTGACAATGGAATCAAACGGTTTTCTCATACGTATTTTGTGAGACCCACATTTACTATAAGCTGTGTGTGTTTGTGTGTATTGCAGACATAGACCGGCCGATATTTGCACTTTTTTGCATATTTGCTATTGGCCTTAAATCTCTTGCTGATATTTGGTTTGGACTCACCAATTGCTACATAACACTTTGTTGTAACAGTCGATATGACAATGCCATTGCCCAAAATGAGATTACACTCCATTACCATTATGGGTTAGCAGATGTCTACAAAAATCTAATGAGATTTGTACATCTTAATCACGCAGAGCACTAGAAATTGTTGTTTATGTTGAAAGTAATTTCATATGTTTGAAAAAAAAAAAAATCATATGTTTGGGGGACAATAATCAAAATCAGCCCTACATATCAGCCCAAAAATATGGGCAGAGCTGATTGGTGATCAGATATTCTGGGTTCTAAACTATCAGTGTTGGCATCGGCCAAAACAAACAAACAAATCTCTGGTGTATTATAGGCGTACATATAAGGGCCCGACCGATATGGATTTTGTTGTGGCCGATATGATACCGATATAATGGGAGTTGGAGCTGCCGATATATTTAGTGATGTAAAAAGTCACTGTAAATCTTGAATTGTTTAAAAAACTTAGGTTTGGCTCTGGTGGATTTTAAATTAAGTTTATTTAGGCAACATTTATTGTTATTCTGCCTCTTTACATCATATATACAGACAGTAGGTTGGCTTAATGGCATTTTTGCATCACATTCTAGTTACTAGTGATGGATATTCCAGTTCTTTTTAGAGAACCGGCTCTTTTGGCTTGGTTCACTAAAAGCATCTAGCTCTTTCAGCTCCCAAGCGACTCCTCAGATTGTTTTGTTGCAAGCAGGACTAAACCAGAACTGAACCAGGACTAAAACGTATCTAAACCATGTGTAAAACAGGACTAAAGCAGAACTGAACCAGGTCTGAGTGTCGGGACTCGGTCTCTATGGTAGTCCTCGTTTATTCATTTTATGCTGAACTACAGCCAAATATGCATGTTTTTTCTCTCCTATGCACATGCAGATTTCTGAAAGTTTCATTTTCAGCCGCTGCCCCTGTCAAATTACGGATCTACATGCGGTGTGAAGAGAAAAAAAAAAGCGAGAGAAAGAGAAAACACAGCTCCCTATAAGGAGCATGCTCCCGTCGTTCGCTTCTAAGAGCCGTTTCGTTCGCGACTGACCCATCACTACTAGCTATTAAAAAAAACTACCGCTATTAGCCTTTAGCTATAAATGCCGCGGTAATTAATTATATGCACAAATGTCATAATTAACACGTCTATTCTCAGCTCATTTACATATCAATGCAGGTCCAGTAACAAATATACGGTCAATAAAGTCACTTTACAACAGGCCAATAGAAAACAGCCTGTTTATGTGAGGGAGCTACAGCAGCTAATTGCTAACCAAAACCAACTTCAAAATCGACATATTTCCAACACTCAACGCTCACACAGGCTCCTCCTCACATCACAAGTCTGCACTAATAAATGTCCTTTTAATCCTGACTCAAACCAATTGTCCTTAAAAAGAATATAATCTCAGTGTTGAGCACGGCTGCGGGTGTAAACAAGAACACGTGACTGAAGTGACTGGGGCTGTGTTCAGGGACAGTACGGACACACACAGAGACAAATGACTCCACAGATAAATACTGATGCGGAGCCACATATTAGGACATTTATCTGTCTGTAAATTGGATTAAATGAACAGAATGTAGAGAGTCTAAGCTTTATAACGAGGTATAACATGCCCACGGTTGGCCGATATATTGGTCGGGCTCTAGTACATATTGTTAATTATAATATTTAAGGGGTGGAAAGTAACTGTATATACTTACGTTATCATAACTGAGTAGATTGCAGTTGTAGTTTTCTTTGGATTTTTAATTATATTTAAAATCACAGCAGTTAATGAGGCCAGTACAAGTCCCAGTCATTCCACTGCAGTTATCTCATTGCTGCTTCTTTCTATCGGTCTTACTCAGCTCTGCCAATATTGGCTCTAAATGCCTCTAAACCGCAGTTTCTTTGTGTTGGTACTTCTGGTTAAGTGGGAATCCCATTCAGTTAAATGGAGAATTTGAGAAAGGTTTTAGAGCTAAGACATAATATATAGCAGGTTGATTTGTGTAAAACATTCAATGTTTTTGTGACCAATAAGTCACTGCACTGATTCTCTGGAGGCTTTAAAAGGCTTTTGAGTGTGGATAGAACACATTTACTGTCAAGATGGGCAGCTCCATGTAAACTAATACGATCCCAGTGACCATGGCAGCATCCACAGCAATAAGACACATAAACGGCACACACATTGCCCGCCCTGATTGGTTAGAACTCAAAGAATATGCAGATTGTGGTTTAATACCACTAAATTTTACTTTTAACTGCTGCCTACAATTAATCAGGTGTTACTAATACTGGTCTAAAATGAAAAGGTCTTGTTAAATCTTTTTACAAAACAGACATCCAAAATAAACTAAATTAATTTTTTATTCATTTTTCATGCCAGTGATGGTTTGCCAACAAGTACAGATTTTCTAATCTTTTTCCACCACCACATACCACGCATATAAACATGCAGCATCAGTCAAATCCTCCAGCTAAGGTACTGACCAAAAATAGCTCAAGACCCTCTTGTGGAAATTATCTGTAAAATAATACCAAAACATACAAGAATGTATGCTGGTTTATTACCTTTGTACCATTAAGTTATACCACTACTGACAGACACAGTTTGTTTGTTTGTTGTTTGAAAAAAATTTGCATCCACACAGATCAATAAATGTGCCGGATCAATAAATATTCACGTTCAGACAACAACGGAGCATTGAGTGAAAATGAGGTAATACATATGCCACACCTGTATGTGGTGCTGTAACAATTATAATAATATTTAATCATGCAAATCTCATCACAGTTTTTTTTTTTTAGCCATAAACTTTGGATTAGAATTATTAGAATAACTTGGTCTCAAAATCCAACAGTTTAATGACCCTTACATAATCTTTGTTATTGAGCCATGTGCGTAATCTGTCTGGTGCGTCTGGATAGCATTAGCTCTAACAGCGTGTCTTGGTTGCTGGGCGACAGGAGCAGCTCCGTAGACTACACCTGTCACATTTCAGCAACTGCATTTTGCATTTAGGTCAGTCTGGCCATTTGGCTTTCTGAGCTCAGAGAGGTAAGACCTTTACATTAGCATGTGAGCACAGTTCAGGATCATCAGACAAAAGAAATAAATGTGAAATAAAACGGCAGACATGTAAAGTGGAAAACACAAGGATTAGACAAGCAGTAATGTGGCTTTTAACACCTCTTACTATGTGTGTATTTTGAACAACAGAAAAACACACAACATACTAAAATTTCCACCACAACCCAGAGGTGGCTCCCTTGCCGCCCTGCCGCTCCAGACAGATTATCCCAGTGGCATTAAAGGATTGGTCAAATGCGCAGGACACATACAGGACACAATAAAGTGCACCCTAACCTTACACTGTCTTCTAATGCTTGTATTTGACTTGTAGGCCCTCTCACACGTGTATGACGCATGTGTGTTGCAGATGTCGCAGATGAAGCCTCCAGAAGCCGGCAGCTGGACAGAGAGCCAGGTGATGATGTCAGCACCGGAGGACAGGGCGTGGCAGGAGAACACGCTGCCTGTCAGTGCAGCTCAGGTGTTCAGCCCCGCCCCCACCAGCATCACGGCATCATGGGAAATGGAGGGTGAGAAGAGGCCCTTCCTCCAGCAGCACTTTGTCCAAGAGGAGTGGCCAGAGGAGACGCCACATAGAGGTACACTTCTGAACAGGATCATAACATGGATTTTAAGCACACGTATTGTGCTTGTGTCTGATCTACTGTTATAAACAAGACATCTGTGGATCATTATGTTTTCATTTAGTTGAAATAAGTCCACTGACTTCTGCGTTAAAAAACTGTCACTGTAAACTTCATCACAAGCAGAGCTTTTTTTTTTTTTTACATTTCGACCAAAATGATGCTTCCAAACCCTACGTGTATCATGATTAAAAAATACTATGGGAGAACAAAGTAAAACAGTGGATGTGGTAGTGAAAATATGGCGTCTTGAAAATAAGCGATTAAAGACTGCTCAAACATGCACAAATCACTCTAAATTAGGGGGGGGGATGATTCACTTAAGTCACATTTCAAAATGACTTTTGATTTTGAACTCCTGCTTTTTGATTCTCTTCAATTCAATTAACATTTCTTATCTTAAAACACAAGATCTTCCATTAACATTGAATTTAAAAAATAAAGTAATTTTTATTAATACTCAAAACTTTAGTTAGCATGAACAATAAGTTATAACATTTGGTGTTCCTACAGTAGATATTTGAAATAAATAACTTAAATTAAGAAAAAAAAAAAAAAAAAAAAAAAGGTGCCAGTTCTTTATAATTGAAAAATAAACCCATTGCAGTTGGCCACTATGAATGCATATTTGGCTTAATGACTTAGGCTACAGTCATTTAAAAAAATCCTGTGTCTCATGAGGAGCATGTGGTTTATGATGCGTTACTTAAAGGTTATTAAACATAAACATCAACATCAATTTTTTCTGTTGTCTGCATACATTTGTTTTGATGGCTTATCCTGACTGTCGTGCATAGACTACAGTTTTTGCTTTTATGTCTTTATCATGATTAAAAGCTGCTTGGAGACATCAGAGCTGAGCCATGTTATATTGTTCCCCTTCTCATTTCACCTCTGAAGTTGTGTTTAGAGTGATTCATGCATGTCTGACTAATCTCCTGCATTGAAGAGCCTGTTTTCAACAATGCCCCAGTACCAGTACTACTGTACCAGTACTACAGTACCAGAGCCAACTACTCTGTACTTAGTTTGTTCTCCTGTTTTATTTTTTTTTTATTACTGTGTGATATACACACAGGATATGGCACATCCCTGTTTTTTATTAGCTAAATGTCTCTGTACATTGTCCCTTTAAATAAGGATGAACTAAACTAAATCCTCTGCCAGCTAGCATGATCTGTGGCTATCCATAGGAGGGGCTGACAGGATGAGGCACCTTGTTGTCATGATGGCAATGTGCTATAAAGGAGATATCATATTTGACTTGTTTAGATCATCATGTTCCTCTTGAAAATGCTACATATTATATTATATTATACTATATTATAATGCAACATATTGACATGTTTTGTAAGTTTCACTTGTGTGTTTGACGTAGTGTAGTGTTCCTCCTTTTGGCCTCCATGATAAGACTCCCCCTTAAGAACACAATCAGTGTGCATCCAGCTAATGAAATTATTGCTCAATCAGGTCAAGTTGTGTACAGTATTGTATTTTGTTTTTCATATATTTATAGAGTACATGAGTGATGTAGGCTTGTGGGCAGAGTCTTACACAGAATCTTACAGCTAATCACAAGGAGGATTCGAAAAGGGCCCAAGAGAGATGGCTAAAATACTCAAGATATATCTAAAACCTCTTCAGGCAAATTTTTGATGAGGGATCAACTTTATAATATGGTAGAAAGCTGAAAAAACACTTTTGCAGAATGTTACCCTTTAAATAGTTTTCGATCAGTATTGTGGCATTGATTGATTGCCACAGTATTGCCATTGAAACATTGCACACACAGTCACAGTATGTCTTCTTTAACGCTTCTATGTGCCAATAAAAAAGATGACTTACTGAATGACGAGTTTCCCGGTACAGGCCACTGCTGCAGTGAGCGCATGGTCCTCAAGATGGCGGTGTCCCTGGGGACAGCAGCTCTGCTCTTCCCCTTCCTGCTGTGGGGTGGATATGTCTTTCTGCCCTTTGATGCTCCGGTGATGGACGGCGCCCCCCTCAGGCTGGTCTACACTCTGCGCTGCTCAGTCTTTGCCACACTACCTATAGCGCTGGGTGAGTCCTACTAAACTTGTCACAATAAAACATTTTGAAGTATGATATACACTTCCACTTCAGTGTCATTCCACAACAACAGTGACACAGCTGAGTCTTTCGATCTTGTTTCCTCACACCACTGCCCCACAGAGAGCATCACAGCGACTGGTCAGCTTAGAGGAATCTGTGCCAGTAAAGCAGCAGGACCAGATGAAATCTGTCCAAGACTCTTGAAGGCTTGTGCTGCTGAGCTGGGGGAGCTTCTGCAGTATGTATTTAATATGAGTCTGTGTCTGGGGAGGGCCCCTATTCAATGGAAGACATCCTGTATTATCCCTGTCCCCAAAAAGCCTCATCCCAAGGAGCTGAATAACAACAGGCCAGTCAAGACAATAGAGCTACTGATGCTCCACCACTGGCTCAAAACCCCAGATCAGCCACACCCTCGACCCTCTGCAGTTTTCTTTTGGATTCTTCTTAGTGGGATTACAGGTTACCTCACTGGGAGACCTCATTATGTTTACCCTGTACATGTCGGCCCTCAGATACAACTCAGAGCTATGTCACTTGCAGAAGAACTCTGATGACACAGCTGTTGTGGGGTGAATCAAGAACACTGCAAAGACCAAAGAGATGGGGGAGACACTGTGGAGGTTGTGGAGGGTTATAAGTATTTGGGCCTAGAGCTCAACTAGGACTGTCGCAATAACCGCAAAAATGAATCAAGGAGGTACTAAGAGGTTCACCGCGGTGGATGTTGGGCCACCACGATCACTGCACGTGACCAACGTGACCCGAGTCCTGCACGGGTCCTTTTTAAAAGATCCGCACCCGCCCAGACCCATTAACATTCCACCCGTTACCGCCCGTGCCCGTGATAACCCAGGACTAACCCAGAACTAAGGTGCGCCCGCGAAGACGGTCGGGTGACCGCAACGATCACGTTTTGCGGACACCTGCTCCACGTGCTCGTGCTCGGGTTCTCCCTCTCTTAAGTCCGTGGGTACCCAACCTGGTGCAGGAATCTGACCTGAGCTGGTGCAGGACTCTGACCCGAGCTGGTGCAGGAATCTGACCCGAGCTGGTGCAGGACTCTGACCCGAGCTGGTGCAGGAATCTGACCCAAGCTGGTGCAGGAATCTGACCCGAGCTGGTGCAGGAATCTGACCCGAGCTGCCACAGTGAGAGCTGGAGAGATGCAGCAGCACTTGTTCCAAAGCCAAATGTTTTTTTTGCCCCCAAGTCCGAGTCATTTGATTTTGAGTATCTGCTGATACCGAGTCCCGATCCGATACTTTTATAAAACAGAGCAAAGAATAAGTTCGAGGATGTGTGGGGGGATCAGATTTATTGATTTCAATGTGTAGTATTCGCACCTCGCACCGCCACCACATCCACAAACCCGCCGCAGAGCGCTCACCGCAACATCTGTTACACTGCTCAATATGCTGCTCTTCCCACCCTCTCCGCCAAAAGCACCACCTCCATCACAGAACATGCAAAAAAAAAAAACTGCACCGTGTGATGATGCCATCGGCTGCGCAGGTGTGAACATGGGCCACAGAATCCCAGGCAACAACACCAGGGCACGGCACTGCCCAAAAGTCCCAGCGTGAGTACAGTAGACACTGGGACAGACAAGTCACGCTAACTGGACATCCCTGAGCAAATCCCAAATCTCAGTTAAAAACTGTTGTGTCCTGTGTGTCCTGTGTGTGTGTTTAAACCTATATAATTTATCCGATACCTGATCAGAACATAACATCTGAGTCCGGATCGAGTCCGCAGTCACGTGATTGGATCGGGACAACCTTACCACTGACACAGTAACCCAAGAACAGATTTGAACAGATTTAAACCACAAAAACTCTACAATATTGTAAAAAAAAAAATCATGACCTGCAATAAATAAACAGCAGAATGAAACATTTTAGTACTTAGTTTGCATCTCTAATGAGTCATATTATATTATTAAGGTATGGACCTCATCAAAAATACCCAAAGTTGTGTTTTGTTTCATTCACACATCCACAAATCCTGCATTTTCAGGCTGAGTACTTCTTTCAAACAGAAAACACTGTTCCACTGTGGGATGTTGTGGTAATACAGGAAGGACTCCACTGTGATTGTAAACTCCATATACTTTCACTAGAATCATTTGGATAATTTTAGTCCTGGAATAGCTGAGGTAAAAAGCATTAAAACATGACATGACATCACAAGGTTGAACAGATAATATTGTAGATGTAGACAGATGTATAATAAAGATTACTCAAATATGTGTGAATGAAACAAAACACAGCTCCTGGCATATTTTTGATGACATAACATTACAACATGGCTAAAAGTCACAAGAATCCATTTTGTGTAATACAGAACATTTAATTCAGCCTTCTACACCTCAAATCATTTTGCCAAAAAAATAAACAAAAATTATCCAGTAGTGCAACAAAAATGTATACATGATAAATACTGACCACCCAAAAATATTGTTGAATCTCTCATATATGGAACAATAAGCAGATATTGTGATCATCGTAGCAGGCCTACTTCTGACATAGCGCCCCCTGCTGTCTCATGTTTCAGGGTACCTGGTCCTGGGCGTGTCACGTCTCCGCTCTGGTGAAGTACAGTCTCTTTGTCACACTGAGGGTTGTGTCTCCAGAGGGCTGAAAGGAGTGGCGTCTAATGATGTCAGCGTACACCGGGGCTTTGTGTCTGACTCCGCCCACCTGTTCCTGCTCTACTTTATGCAGCTGGTTGTTATGGCGACCTACCTGAGCCAGGACCAGCTCAAAGTGGTGCCCCTGCTCACGGTGCTCTTCTGCCTCGGGCGGTACGTTTCTCTGATACAAAAAAACCTGTGAACTGCTCATCTCTCTGGCTTCTGAGGCAACTGTGCACAATCTCAACTGTAAAGCCACCGCAGGTAGTTCGCCCAGTATGTGCCCAGAACGCCAGTCTGTTTTAATTATAGCTTTTGATTATAAATATTATATTAAAATATTATAATTAATAGTGTTTTAAAAGGTCCTGTATTGATTCCTGTGAGCTTTAAACCATGTTAGAATGTTGTTACAGATGTGTTCAAAATTGTTGGTACCAATCTGGTAATGAAAGAAAAATCTACAATAATCACTGAAATAATTTGAAAGAAAAGAAAAGCAATAATAAATAAAAAATTACTGAAAAATAACCAATGAAAATCAGGAGGTTGGCTTCAGTCCTGTGGACCTTAAAATTCTGAAGAACATGTGTAATCACAGGAACATCAAGCTGCTTGGAGATGGTCTTATTGTCTTTATCTTTAACCTGCTTGTCTCTCATTTTCTTTCTAGTCTCCTGACACAGTTCTCTTCTTCTCTTTCTCTGGTCCATGTTCAGTGTTGTGTCCATCATGTCTCCAAACAGCACAATGACACATGTCCTCCTTTAAACAGACACACTGACTGAGGACAAGTTTGAAGACACCTGTGATGCAGATTAAAGACTCACCGAAGTTTAACATGTCCCTGTTGTCCACTTCCTTACTATCTTTTCTAGAAGTACCATCATTTTTGTCCAGGCCAGTTTCATTAGTTTTTTTTTTTAATTTTTTATTCTGTTGAAAAAAAATTCAAAAACAGTGTCTGATTTTCATTTGTTATTTTTCAGTATTTTTTTTATTTATTTATTATTGCTTTTCTTAGTTTCATGTTATCATGTTATTTCAGTGACCATTGTTGATTTTTCTTTCATTACCAGAGGGGGCACCAACAACACGACTGTACCTCCTCAAAAACAGACCCTCCAAATCTCAAAATGCCCTATTCCACCTTGTGATGTCATGAAGTGGTAGATTTTAAGTTTCAAGCCCCATTTTATCTTTTGTTCAGTAGATAATGGCAATTCCATGGGCTGAAATTATCCAAGTGATTCTAGTGAAGGTGTATGGCATGGATCTGTTCAAATAACTGGATAGGGTGCTGGTATCTTAGAGCTGTCTCAAGTTGATTTAGTGGACCTTCACTGGTAGTACAGCAATAAAATACCTCTTTCCCAGAAAGGATTTTTCCCAAGAGTACAGTGTAATCACAAACTGTTCGTGTTCGAGTGACAAGGCACCTAGAGCTTTCAAAAAGGTTGGATTTTCCGCATTTTTCTCACCTCAAAATCCTTCAGCTGTTGTCCTAAAAACATCTTTTTAATCATTAACTTTCGCCTCAGTTAAAGATCATGGCTAATCTAACCAGTTCTTCTTCTGCTCAGTTTTTCAGTTCCAGTATCGATAATGATACTTTGACATTAAGTATCTGCCAATACATGATATTAACTGATACCGGTGCAGGGATAGAAAAGGGCACTTATTTTCTTAAAACACACTTGGATCTTATAAGATATGTAATGCTATTTCTCCTTCAAATAAATACTCAACAGGTTTGTATGACTAAAAGTTCAAATATTATGACTCATAGAAGTTATTAATTCAACCTTCAATGGCTTAAATCTTACGAAATAGCTAAAAAATAACCAAACATTTCCAACAGTGCAAAGTATACACAATAAAAATTGACCCTAAAATACATATTGTTCCACCTTTCATATAGTGAACTATAAGTCCATAGAGTCATTATAGAGCCTACCAGTGTCGGCTGACTGCAGTGATATGCATTCGAAAAACTGATTATCTGATTTCTGGTGGCTTAGAATTACTAAAATGTACACAGTATGTATGCAAACGGCAAAATTTGTCCGAAATCTGAGTATTTTGGTGTCTAAATGTCATTTAGATTTGGAACTGTGGGGGCTCTGCAGAGGCTTAAAACTGCTCTAACGTAAATGTCCCAATTGTTTCGTACAGTACAAAGACTAATGCAGCATTTAAAGGTGCGCTTGTTTTGTCCACAGACTAGTGCAACATTTAAAGATGCACTTGTTTTGTCTACAGGCTGGTGTACTGGGTAGCTGCAGCATTCCAAAGCAGCATCAGGGCCTTTGGGTTCGGGTTGTCCTTTCTTCCGTCCCTCGCCATGATGGGCATCAATCTGTACTTCCTGGTTACCATGGAGATGAGTGGTGGTGTTTTGAGCCCACCTCAGACAGAGCAGACCCTGCCTCAAGGACGCCAGCGCTTCTGGGGCTGAATGCTGCACCAGGACTTAAGTGCTGTGCCATTAAATGACCAATAAATCAGGATTTTGAAAATGGTTTTAAGAAAAAGACAGCCACACCCAGATCAATTTGCCAGAGGTGCCTCCATGGAAATGTTTTTGCTGTGCATGTCCTCAAATTATCTGTAATGCTTTACATTTTACAAAAACTCTGATACGGGTATTTTTAGGGAAGACACTATAGGCAAAAACTTCTCCCCATTTTTTTGGCAGTTAAATAAATAAAATAAGATGTCCAGATCTGCAGAGAAATATAATAATTGATATTTCACCCTTTAAAGTAACACAGGCATGCACCAAAGTACTCATTTGTGAACTTGATTTTGATGAAACATACAGAAGGATTTTTTAATACTTAATTCCAAGTCTGATTTAATTTTTACTTAAAGAATTTGGTGAAATAATGTTTTTTGACCATTTTTTGTAAGATGTAGTTTACTCAAACACTAAATAAGATATCCAAAATTTCCCCTGTCTGTTTCTTGTATCTAAAAGGAGAAAATGAAGCGAAATATTTTAACCTGGCACCATCTATTTTTGAGATTCATATGTCCAAAAATAGTTGATACACATACATTTGTTTATATGAAAACATTACATGATGAAACACTTCTCATATATATATATATTTATTACATTTATGTGAGTCAATTACAAAACAAGTTTCAAACTGATATCTCTAAATGTAAGATTTTTTTGCCTATTCACCTGCAGTACACTCTGTACACTTGAAACAGTGGAGTCAGAGAAAGAGAAAGAGCTCTGTGAGGTTCCTGTAGCTCATGAAGACCTCTGCTCACTCAAAAGAACACAAACTTCATCTGTGTTCAGCTGCACACTACAACACAAAACTACTAACACAACAATACTGGAAAGCACGATAATCCATATCAACAGAATTACATACAATACAAGAACTTTTTTTTTTTGATATATCAGTCCGATTTTAGTTTTATTTTGTTATTTTGTGTTATGTTTTCAACCATTTGATTCTGATTGTTCTTATTGTCTTGTGGTTAGATTATTCTAGTTCGTACTTTTAAAATTAAATACAAATGATCAGACCTCTGTATTTTAGTGTGATTTAGATTTTGTGCTGCCATGAATAAATTCTGATTATTTAATAAAATGTAAAAAAATAAAAACCGAAAAACACTGTACATATTTTTACTTGTTTGTTAATTAATGTGCTAATTAAGTTTACACACTATTTAATTATGTGCGTCACAATTAGGCGCTAGAACAACGGGTAACATCTTTACTTTGACTACAACTTTATTCTTGTAAAATTACAAATTTTATGTGGAAATGTTTCCACTTTAACTGCCTGCATAATACTGTATTTATTTTTAATCTGACCCTTATACTGTTGTACCATAGTGCTTTATCTGTGGAAAATAAAACTGGAAATTAACTTGTTTTTGTGCTTTCTGAAATCCTATGAAAACTAGCATTTACTCTGTTGAAGAACATTTTGAAGATGAGCTGTGTTGTGGTTAAAAGGGCTGGAGATGTGTCTGTTGGTACCCCTCTGGTAATGAAAGAAAATCAACAATAATCACTGAAATAACTTGAAAACTGAGAAAAGCAATAATAAATGCAAAAGTACTGTCACCTGTAGTTCAACAGAATTATTAGAAAAAACAAAATAATGATACTGGCCTGGACAAAAATTATGTTACCCTTAATGTAATATTTTGTTGCACAAAGTTTTGAGGCAAACTCTGCAAACAAATGATTTGTAACTGTCAGTGAGACTTCTGCTCTGGTCAACAGGTATTTTGACCCATTTCTCATGAGCAAACTGGTCTAATTGTCTCAGGTTTGAAGGTTCCTTCTCCAGACGCATGTTTCAGCTCATTTCACAGCTGCTCAGTAGAATTGAGATCTGGGCTCACAGAAGAACACTCCAGAACAGTCCAGTGTTCTGTTCTTAGTCATTCTTGTGTGTATTTATCTGTGTGTTTTGGGTCATTGTCCTGTTGGAAGACTCATGACCTACGACTGAGACCGAGCTTTCTGACACTAGGCAACACGTTTTGGTCCAAAATACCTTGATAGTTTAAAGATTTCGTTGTACCTTGCACAGATTTAAGACACTCTGTGCCAGATGCAGCAAAACAGCCCCTGAACAAAACCAAGCCTCCTCCATGTTTCACAGTAGGAACAGTGTTCTTTTCTTGGTCTGCTTCATTATTGCACAGAGCAATAATGAGTAATAGTACTAATAGTAATAATACTGCACTTTTCTGGACCGAGATGTCCGTTGTTTTTCCTGGTATCTGCTATAGCCTCTTCCAGTTTGGTTTGAGGTTACAGCCCCAAGTGCTCCAATCACCACAGTAAGTAAGTCTTTATTTATATAACGCTTTTCAGAGATATTTTTGTCACAAAGATGCTTGACAGAGCATTACATTCGGCATTATTCATTCACTCTATACCTGGTGATGGTAAGCTACTGTTGTAGCCACAGATGCCCTGGGGCAGACTGACAGAAGCGTGGCTGCCATGCCAATTGGCGCCAACAGTCCCTCTGACCACCACCATCACTCACACACACCACTTTCATACTAGGCAATGTGGGTGAAGTGTCTTGCCTAAGGACACAATTACAATTATTGTCACTGGCGCCCCACTGTGGCACCAGATTTTCCCAGCGGTCTCTCCAAGTACTAACCAGGCCCGGCCTTGCTTAGCTTCTGAGATCTGACGGGATCAGGCTTTTACAAGCCGGTACGGCCACAAGGGCATAGGCACCACTGATGCCTTCACCTTCCAGGCTTTCTCCAGCTCCTTTCTCCAGTTTCTCATGTTCCTTTTTCCTGATATTACCATCGCTTGTTATTGCAATGTCCACCACCACAGCTCTGCTCTGTTTCTTATCCACTGCCACTATGTCTGGTTGGTTCACCATCACCATCCTGTCAGTCTATATCTGGAAGTCCCACAGGATCTTGGCTCGGTCATTCTCCACAACCTTTGGAGGTGTTTTCCACCTTGATCCTGGGGTTTCCAGCCCGTACTCTGCACAGATGTTTCTGTACACTATGCCCGCCACTTGGTTATGTCGCTCCATGTATGCTTTCCCTGCCAGCATCTTACACCCTGCAGTTATGTGCTGGACTGCTTCAGGAGCCTCTTTGCACAGTCTACACCTTGGGTCTTGTCTGGTGTGGTAGATCTGGGCCTCTATTGCTTGAGTGCCCAGGGTCTGCTCCTGAGCAGCCAGGATCAGTGCCTCCGTGCTGTCCTTCAGACCCCCTCAAGCCATTGGTAGGATTTTTTGATATCAACCACTTCAGTTCTGTAAAAAACCATGTGGCATTTGCCAAGGCCCACAGCCTGCTAAAAGGATGGACACTGGAAAAGTGGCAGAAGGTGGATTTCTCAGATGAATCCTCAGTTGAATTACATCACAGCCACTGCAAATATTGCAGGAGACCTACTGGAGCCCGCATGGATCCAAGATTCACCCAGAAAACAGTTAAGTTTGGTGGCGGAAAAATCATGGTCTGGGGTTCCATCCAGTATGGGGCTGTGCGAGACATTTGCAGGGTGGAAGGCAAATATCAATAGCCTAAAATATCAAGAAGTATTAGCTACATCTTACATTCCCAACCATAAAAGGGGTCAAATTTTGCAGCAAGCTCATGGAAGTCATACAAGATATTAAATATGGATCTCACAGCACCACTACTTAATTCACTGACGTTATGCAACATATTTGTGTATTTGAAGTAAATTATTTGTTAAATTTTCTGTAGGCAACAAAACTTTTGTCTTGCCAAAATCTGACCTTTCTCTGTTCATTAAATGATCAATCTTTCTTCAGTGAAGCAAATTTATTTTAGTATATTGAGCATAATTTGGGAGGGTTTTAGCTTTCACATGAGACATTTCTAAAAATGGTTCTAAAACCAATCGATTAATTTAAAGTCAGGTTATAAGCTTTTGTTTCTACAAAATGGATAAGCGACAAGACTTTTGTCAGGGACTGTATATATATATATATATGTTAAAATGAACAGATTTTGTGAGGAGCTTAGTGTGTTGTCAAATGTCAATGTCAGGTCCAATGTCAGTCCCAGGTATTTAAACTCTTTGATCAGGCTGAGTTGCACCCGGTTCAGAAAGACATTAGACCGCTGTAGATCAATTGTTTTTTTTTTGCTGAACATCATGCAGACAGTTTTCTTTATGTTGAGTTGCAAGCACGAGTTCTTGACCCACTTTTGGACATGAGTCATGGCTGAAGTTAACTTTTCTGAAGTTTCTTGTACAGTTTTGGCATGTGTAAAGATCACAGCATCATTAGCGTACAGCTGGACATTGACATCTGGACACATTTTAGGAAGATCATTGATATATAAACTGAATAAAATAGGTCCTAAAATATTACCTTGTGGGGAATCCCTGTTGGACAGTGAAGGTAGGGCGATTTAAAACCAGAGAGGGAAACACATTGTTGTCTGTGGGACAAATAAGATTCAAACCACCTTAGCGCCTCTCTAGACAAACTAAAATGGGATAATTTAGAAAAAAGAATCTGGTGATTTACAGTGTCAAACACCTTCTTGAGGTCTAGAAATACTGCTCCTGTGTTTGTCAAGAAAACTTTTGACATTTTCAAAAAAAAAAAAAAAAACTATTTGCAGACTCTGTGGAATGGTGACTATGAAAATCAAACTGCAGTGGGTGTAAAGGTGTAGTGCTTGTGGTGAGGTGTTCATATAATTGTTCAGCCACCCATCTCTCAGCAATTTTGGAGATGGCAGGGAGGATATTGTTGGGGCAATAATTAGCCATCTCAGACTTATTACCATTTTTAAAAACTGGAGAAACCACTGCCAACTTCCATGCTGATGGCACAACACTTTGTCTGAAGGACAGATTCAACAGATGTTTAACTGGGGTGATTAACGCATTTTTTACAGTTTTAGGAAGTGTGTGTCTAGTCCATGTGTGTCTTTTGCCTTGGAGGAATTAAGAGAATTAATAATGCGGAGCACATCTCCATCAGATATTTCTATATCTATCATTTTGAAAATGGAGTCACTAGAGCTCATGGACGAATACTTTGTTTCTGTTGGTGCAAACTGCTGAGTTAATTTATGTACAGATTTAATAAAATAATTATTCATTTCGGTAGCAATAGCAAGAGGATTTTGTACAAGGATATTGTTTATTTTTATTTCGATATTGTGATTCTCATTTTTATGTTGTTTACCAGTTAGTTTATTAATATTTTTTCCAAATAACTTTATTATTTCCTTTTGCTTCATTGATAACTTTTATGAAAAAGTTTGCTTTGGCTTTGCGTATTTTGCCTATTACTTTATTTCTAGTTACAGTGAATATCTGTCTGTCCGTTGCCAGACCAGTTTTCAATGCTTTTTTGAGCAATATGTCTTTTTCTTTCATTATTTTTATACATTCAGTTTCTATGGTAGAGCTTTTTTGGGTTTTTTTGTTATTGTACCCATTTTCTACATTTTGGTTATTTAGAATTTCACTCCAGTCAGTATCTTTAAGAGCTACCTCAAGACTTTGTATTTGAGTTGTTGGTATGAAATCATGGTTACTTTTCGCTGTATATGGATATTGAAATCTCACTTTAAATCATTTTCATGAGAACTAAATTATATTATGATCAGACATTCCTGTGATTAAATTATAGGTCTTAATAATCCTGTCAGGGTAATTTGTAAACAATAGGTCTATTCTTGTTGAAGAATTTGCAGTAACTCTGGTAGGCCTGTCTATGATTTGTTTAAGATTAAGATGATCCATAATTTGTTTTAAGTTTTTTCTCCCTTTTTTCTCATCCCAATTCATATTAAAATCACCCTCGATAATTAATTCTTTGTTTAAATGACAGTATCCCAGAAGACGTTTTATTTGATCATAAAAGTCTGTAGTTGCTGATGGCTTGTGATAAATAAAAATTAATGTAAATGACTTTTCAGATAAGAGAGAAATTGTTTATACATTCAAGTTGAAGATCACTTGGAAGTTCCATTTGATCACATTTGAAACTATCCTTGATATACAGTGTTAAAGTACGTTAATCATGCCCTCAGTTGTATGCCACAGGGAGGCGCTACAGCTCAGGCTACAGAAGGCAGGTGTGTGTTAAAATATATACATATATATATATATATATATATATATATATATATATATATATATATATATATATATATATATATATATATATATATGTATATATATATATATATATATATATATATATATATATATATATATATATATATATATATACAAGGCTCTGTTGGAATGCTACTACTACAGTAACCCTAGGCAGAGGGGTTACATGAACAGGATGTGGGAGAAATGGTTATTACGATACCCACAGTCCAAGCTAACGGCCAAACAACTAGTAGCTCAGTGTTCCAACATCCACAAACGGCAACTGCTATCACAACTAGAGATTGATGAGGTACAACACAAATGCCACGGCAAGGGGGAACCAGTGTGCCAGGTCAGAGGGGAGTTGACACCAACTCCCCAACCAGAGATTGGGTACGAAACCCCAATAAGTATCACGCTGAGCGAGGCAGCGACTGACCTGAAAGATAAGATCATGGCCCGAATGAACACAAGGCAACCCCGATGCCGGTTACAGAGGCTATGTGAAGTACCATCTGAAAGTCTCCTAGAAGATGTGAATGCAGCACTGACAGTGATCCCTACCACAACAATCACTGAAACCAATGAGCTGATATACACTTCAGCAGCAGTGATCCTAGATGTGTTGGGCTATAAGAGCAACCATGGGAGCCATGCGATACAATACCCACCATGGCAAAGACGGTTAGAGGCTAAAATCAAGGAGGTGCGGAGAGAAGTAAGCCAACTGTCAGAGGCCCAGAAAGGTGCAATGAAAAAGCAAGTGCCCAAGAGGTACAACCAGTTGCCCATACCTGAAGCACTCGAAACTGCCAAACAAAGGCTCCAAGCCTTGGCCAGCCGCCTAAAGAGGTACACACGAGATAACGAGGCCAGACGAATAAACCGGCTGTTCGCAACACAACCGGCGAAAGTGTACGCTCAGTGGCAGGGTAATAACAGCAGAGCATACCCACCAAGGCTGGAGACTGAGAGGTACTGGAAAGGCATATGGGAAAGGGAGGCATCACATAACACCGATGCACAGTGGCTGGTGGATCTGAGAGAAGACCACAGCAACCTCCCTGAACAGAATCCAGTCACCATCACAGTGGCAGACATCCAGGGAAGAGTCTCAGGTATGAAAAACTGGACCGCACCGGGCCCTGACATGATCCATGCGTACTGGCTAAAGAAGCTCACTGCCCTCCACGAGCGCCTGGCAGCACAAATGAACCAGCTGCTAAGGGATGGGACTCACCCTGAATGGTTAACCCAAGGGTGTACGATCCTGATCCTAAAGGATCCCTCAAAGGGTGCAGTCCCATCCAACTATCGGCCAATAACCTGTCTCTCCACAACATGGAAGCTCATGTCAGGCATCATTGCGGCTAAGATAAGTGGGCACATGAATCAATACATGAGTGCAGCACAGAAGGGTATCGGCAAAAACACCAGGGGAGCCAAACACCAACTCCTGGTTGACCGAACAGTCGCCCGCGACTGCAGAACCCGTAAGACCAACCTGTGCACTGCCTGGATTGATTACAAGAAAGCCTATGACTCAATGCCACACACATGGATCACTGAGTGCTTGAAGCTGTACAATATCAACAGGACTCTAAGGGCGTTCATTGCGAACTCGATGCGGTTGTGGAAAACCACCCTTGAAGCCAAGGGGAAGCCACTTGCACATGTGTCCATCAAATGTGGCATATACCAAGGAGACTCACTGTCCCCACTGCTGTTCTGCATAGGCCTGAACCCTCTCAGCCAAATAATCGACCGCACTGGCTATGGATACCGACTCAGAAATGGGGCCACCATCAGTCACCTCCTCTACATGGATGACATCAAGCTGTACGCTAAGAGTGAGCGAGACATCGACTCACTGATCCACACCACAAGGATCTACAGTACAGACATCGGGATGTCATTCGGGCTTGAGAAATGTAGCAGGATGGTGACAAAGAGAGGGAAGGTAGTCCACACAGAGGGGGTGTCACTCCCAGAGGGAACAATAGCAGACGTTGAGGACAGTTACAAGTACCTTGGTATCCCACAAGCAAGTGGCAACCTCGAAGAGGCAACAAGGAAAGCGGCTATGGCCAAATACCTGCAAAGAGTGAGGCAAGTCCTTAGAAGCCAGCTCAATGGCAAGAACAAGGTGCAGGCAATCAACAGCTACGCCCTGCCAGTGATCAGATACCCTGCAGGGATTGTAAGCTGGCCAAAGGAGGAGATACAGACCACAGATGTTAAGACACGAAAGCTCCTGACCATGCATGGAGGGTTCCATCCCAAATCCAGCACCCTGAGACTGTACGCAGGCCGGAAGGAAGGGGGCCGAGGACTAGTGAGTGTGGGAACCACTGTCCAGGATGAAACATCCAAGCTCCTTGAGTACATCAAGGACAAGGCCCCAGCAGATGAGGTGCTCAGAGAATGTCTCAGACAGTGGGGTCCAGAGGAAGAGGTGCTGGAGGGACCATCATGGCAGGACAAACCCCTACATGGGGCGTACCACCGGAACATAACTGAAGTGGCTGATATCAAGAAATCCTACCAATGGCTTGAGAGGGCTGGTCTGAAGGACAGCACAGAGGCACTGATCCTGGCTGCTCAGGAGCAGGCCCTGGGCATTCGAGCAATAGAGGCCCAGATCTACCACACCAGACAAGACCCACGGTGTAGACTGTGCAAAGAGGCTCCTGAGACAGTCCAGCACATAACTGCGGGGTGTAAGATGCTGGCAGGGAAAGCATACATGGAGCGACATAACCAAGTGGCGGGCATAGTGTACAGAAACATCTGTGCAGAGTACGGGCTGGAGACCCCAGGATCAAGGTGGGAAACACCTCCAAAGGTTGTGGAGAATGACCGAGCCAAGATCCTGTGGGACTTCCAGATACAGACTGACAGAATGGTGATGGCGAACCAACCAGACATAGTGGTGGTGGATAAGAAACAGAGCAGAGCCGTGGTGGTTGACATCGCAATACCAAGCGATGGTAATATCAGGAAAAAGGAACACGAGAAGCTAGAGAAATACCAGGGGCTCAAGGAAGAGCTGGAGAGAGCCTGGAAAGTAAAGGCATCAGTGGTGCCTGTGGTGATCGGAGCACTCGGGGCTGTAACCCCCAAACTGGAAGAGTGGCTACAACAGATACCGGGAAAAACAACGGACATCTCAGTCCAGAAAAGTGCAGTACTGGGAACAGCAAAGATACTGCGCAGAACTCTCAAGCTCCCAGGCCTCTGGTAGAGGACCCGAGCTCAATGAGGGTGAGAGAGACCTACCACCGTGGAAGGTGAGAAACAAATTTTTATTTTTTTTATATATATATGTTATATATATATATGTGTATATATATATATATATATATATATATATATATATATATATATATTGTGCACTTAGGCTTGCTGTAGTTCTCAGAGTCAGTTAATAAATATGCCAAAAAGCAACTGATTAAATTTCATCTTTTGTCTGCACTTTTTCACCCGAATGCAACGGTGGCTGTAACTAAAGCACACCGTAACTCAACAGGTTATGGGCCCAGAAGTTGTTCGGAAGATAAGTTAGTTTGTTCCAAAACGTCTAGAAAGTCACAACGGACCACGTGCTAACGGGACTGCTAATGGAGAAAAAGAGCAAGCTAACATGGCGGAGCAACGAAAGACAAGCAGGTTGCCTCAATTGACATTCGACGAAGATGAGACCAAGTATGAACTTTGGGAGACTAAAATGTTGGGACATTTTCATTTATTAGGATTAAAGAAAACAGTACTAGAAGAACCAAGGACAGAAGACGAAAGAGCAGCAGATCCTGGGATCAATAGCATTCCCATCCCTGAGAAGTCTGGAGTAGGTTGTGTACTGGCTTTGTGAGGCTGACAAGACACGATCATTTTTCTTTTGAAGATACTGGTGTCTTGTACATAGTACCAAAATAGTAGACATATACAGCACACAAAACCAGGCAAAGGAAAGTTGTTCAGACGTCTTTGTGCGAGGGCGCACAGCACCTGCCACACCATGTGCACTCTCCGCAGCCATCTCCCAAGTGAAGGTCTGTGAATGTGTGTGAAAGTCAATTCAGCTTCCCTTAGGTAAATCAGGATAACTCTACAAAGTGTTACATGTTTACTCTCAAAACTTTAATATAACTCTTGATTTACGGGTTAAACAGGAACTTTGGTCCAGTGTTACTTAATTAACATTTCCAAAAATGTTTAATTAACTCTAGAACAGATTGGACTCATGTAAACCCTGAGAAAATTTGAAAACTGATTCTGTGAGAGTCAATTTTAACACTCCACTTTAGTAGTTCCCCGCACACACGCACCCACACACACACACACACGCACACACCCACACACACGTACACACACACCCACACACACCCGCACACACACCCACCCGCACACACGTACACACACACACACCCACCCACACACATGCACACACCCACACACACACACACACGCACACACCCACACACACGCACACACCCACACACATGTACACACACACCCACACACACACCCACCCACACACATGCACACGCACACACTTTACACTTAGTCTGCTGTGGTGTTGTATGCATTCTATTGTGTTGTACTGTGTTGCATTGCTGTATCTATATGCTTATTGTATGTTGCTAATAAAAAATAAAAAAATTTATAAAAAAAAAAAAATAAAAAATGTGTGATGCTGTACATTTCACAGTGGATTTATTCAGTTGGATCATTAAAACTGTGACAGCCACAGACTGTGCAGATGTGACCGTACATTTCTTTAGAGTGGACACAATCTGGAGATTATTGGAATTACAGAATACATTCATGTGCACATTATGCATAGCTTCAATGGGAACACAGTTAAGTCTCATGTCAATAATAATCTCATGCTCAGTGTACAATACCACATTGTACAAATACATTTAAGTATATTTCATATCGTTAAAGGGAGAGCATTCTAGACATCCACAGATTCCACAGTCAGAACAGGTTGGAAATCATATTAAAGGAGAATATATATATATATATATATATATATATATATATATATATAATATATATAATATATATATATATATATATATATTTTTTTTTTTTTTTTTTCACATGGTTTCCAAATAAAGTGTGATTGGTGATGCTGTATTAAAGCTGGGGAAACCAACTGCTTTGTTAGAACCAAAAGTACAAATGCATGTTTCCCTCATAGAATATGTTAAAAACAGCACTCTGTGACGACATAAGCGCAGTCTGCATCCAACACCAGTGAAGCATTTGAATGATCACAAACCCAGAGTCTGCAGGCTGCCCTAAAGTGGAACTAACTCTGAAGTCTGCCTATATCCATCTCTGGAGGACTAAAGGGGAGAGTAAGACTGGAGGAGGGGCAAAAGCTGGAGGACAAAAGAGAGTGAGGGGTGAAGAGAGGCAGGGTCTGGAGGATGGACAGGAGCTTGTTTAGGGCTTTCTTTTCAGCCACAGATGAGAGTGAATCATGCTCTGCACTCACTACAGATCAAGCCCTCCTCGCCAGCTTATTCTTGAGGCTTCTTGAGGCTTCCTCCCAAGCAGACCACAGCACTAAAAGGGACACTGGAGATGACTGCCCTGTAGAACATGAGCAGGAGCTTCTGGCAAATTGGAGCTATGTCACGTGTCAATCACAAGAGTCCTAGGCAGATTCAGCTACGTTTGGAGAATGACCATCCTAATCAGCAGCAGGAACAACAGAGACATCATGTGACCCTACCGCTGTTTCATAAAAAACAAAACAAAACAAAACAAAAAAACTTCAACATCCACAAAACAGACTACAATCAGTGCTCCTCATTCTCCTCCTCTGCTCTAGTTTTAATGGCATTTCAGCCTAACACTGTACATAAATGACACCAGTGTTTACATATGATGCTTCTGTTGAATAAGAAATGTCTGCAATAAACCCCACAAACTGATCTGTAAACATGAACCATCACCTGTAGCTTCCCATTACAAACTCTGCAGCAATTGGCCATATTTGGAAACCTTCAGAAAACATGAGCAGTGGATTGTGGGATGTCTCATAGCTACTTACAGCTGGTTGGAAGCTCCCAATGTTCCTTAAACTAAAGATGCTCTGACAGAAAGCATGCAGGCTCCTTTTCCAAACTCCTTCCTAACTCTGGACTATTCAGACAGTCAGTCAGACAGGGGCTATGTTCCAGACTCAGGGTTTGAAATCAAGTACAATACAGAGCTTTTAAAATCAAGTCGACTGAACACATGGCAATGCCAGTAAAACAACAAACTGCCATACTCAGGTACCCCAGCTTTAAGGCAAGATAAATTTGTGCTAGTCTGCTAGTGTTGAACTAGTACATCACAGCAGGTAGAAGAAAACTCCCTCATGTTGTCCTTCACTCCAAAGTCCCCTGCTCTGGGCTCATACTGTCCATCTCCTGCTCCTCCCTCTGGACCTCTTTGGTGTTCACTGGGCTCTGATTCAGGCTCCTGGGGCCGGCGGCACGGTGCCGGCCCCTGCAGCACTGCCTCAGTCCAGCCCTGAAGGACGGGGAGTAGAAACCGTAGATGAGCGGGTCCAGGCAGGAGTTGAGGTTCCCAAAGACAAAGAGGCTGTGGTGGACGTATTCCGGGGTGTAGTCCAGGACACCGGGCTGGAACCAGTACCACACGCCCAACAGGTAGTATGGGGTCCAGCAGAGGACAAAAGACAACACGATTACCACGCTCATCTTCACTGTCTTCATTCTCGCTTTAGGGATCATGTCTGTGCCTGAGCGACGCAAGCTCCACTCTCCAGCTGCAACAAAGAGGACAATGTGTGAACTGTGTCTGTCCCTCACACTCATGTGGCACTGGACTTTAATCATGTGATGTTTGTGAACACGTCCACTTTTTGAAAATATGTTGGGACAGGCTGTCATTTTTTAAAGGTCCTATTGTTGCACTCTCAAATAATCCACACAAACTGTTCAGCTTTGCAACATTTAATTTATCCACTGGTTCAATACATGTGAGGCATGCAGGGTTACAACACCTGAGCGCAGCCAGGCCACACTCACGACCATGGGTAGGCATGTCTGACTTACTTTTAATGCTGAACCCCCAAATATCAGCACCACCCATTTCCTGCCCACACATGATGATGCTACATCAGTGTCATATTTACTATACAAATTTAATGACTTATCAGTGTTTATACTTGATAAATACCATATCATTTAACAGCAACATTGTATCAAAATATATTATGTAGCTGGACTACACTATATTATCCAAAATGTACTACTGTGAGCTTTAAGTCATGTTACAGTGTTGTTGCCACATCAAAAACTGACCTGGATTTGTGTTTTGTTTCATTCACACGTTTGAGTAATCCTTTATTATTAGTCTGTCTACATCTCAGGCTCGGGCGAACCTAACAGACGGAAGAACAGACAAAGGACGGTTGGGATAAGTGGCATGTTGTGTGTCTGGCATCTCTTTCCGTGGAGGACATCGAAGACATTTACCTATTCTGTACTATGATTACAGGACTTCTGCTAAATGAATTAGGCATTGCCCTGATTTTTCGAAAAGTTCAGATTACCGAGGTGGATGTTCTACAGTCCACTTGGCTGCCCATACTGAAATTGGAGGTAAAGCTGTGAGCTCTCAAACTGTGACTATGAGCTTATTTATTACTAACTTATTAGTTACACCACATTTTGGAAAACATCACGGAAAGGTTTGGGGTCATTGACTGGAACTTGGATGGGACTGTGGCCTTGGCGTCCGGATGGCTGCTGCCATATAGATAACTCCACGCCCCTCTCCTCCCTGGTGTCAAGTTTAGATGTAATGTTTTTACTCTGAGTTGTTTTTTGTGCACTGGTCCCATATTATGCCCTGAAAGGAGCACAGTCTGGGGGCTATCATCTTGTTTTCCTCCTCCCCCTATCCTTAAGTTATGCTGCAGTGTTTCTTCCTCAGCTCCCTGTCTTCAGGTCTGGTCCATGTCTAGTCTTCCTATGTCATATTGTATTGTGTGTTTGTAATGTACGGATAGGGTGACAGGTCCCATTTTGATTCCTCTGTATCTACTACATCTGAAGATATTGACAATAAAGGCATTCATTCATTCATCTCCAAAGCTCAACACGCCCCTTTCCACCTTGTGATGTCATGTAGTGGTAGTTTTTAAATTAACAGCTTCTATTAACTTTAGTTCAGTAGAGATTGGCATTTCCAGGTCTGAAATTATCCAAATGATTTTAGTGAAGGTGTGTGGAGTTTAAACACACTGTGTTAATAAAACAAATCATAACTCCAGATCTGTTTGTGAACATGAGAACTACATGAGAACAAAGATCAGAAAATAGTGCATATAGGACCTGAATCTTTTTCTTTCTATTTTGTGTATTCTATTTTTGTAATTTTCTTTTTTATTATTACTTAAAGTGACCAAATGTGGACAAAATGACAAATATACAAATTGGATTTAGTATGAGCATTGTACTTGTCAACATAATTCTACCACATGTACATAAATATAATTTTCTTTCACCAAATATTTATTTACTTATAATTTCTTGGTCTTTTGATTCTTTTGATCATGCATCATTCTCAAGTCATGTTAATTTAGCACATTTGGTGCAGCAAGGCTGGAAGCGTTGAGCATGCAGCACACAGTGCCAGCACGTGCCATTGGTCTGAGTGCAAGCTACAGATCCTTGCATTTTACAGTGAAAAACTACTACAAAAAACATTGCGACTGTCGATTGCAGCCAAAACAACTAGCGCCTGAATAACAACTGAGCTGTTATTCAAATAAAAAAATTTAAATTTGCTGTACCTTTGTGGACTGTGGCCTGGCGCTGGATGTGCAGAAGGATGCAGCTGTAGCACCACACCATGACCACCAGGGGGCAGACGTAGAGCGTGCTGAAGTGGAACATGTTGTAGAGTGTCTCTTGCCAGCGGTGTGAAAAGCTGCCGTGAGTGGCACACTGCGTAAAGTCCACATCCACCGCTTTACTCAGCCTGAAGAGAAACAACTACAGGGGGACAGCGGAGGAGAGGGGAGTGGAGCGAAGAGGAGGAGGGGAGAACAGGAGATAACGGGAGGAAAGAGGAAAGAGGAGGAGGGTAGAGGAGAGAGGAGGACGGGGGGAGGAGAGGGGTGGAGAGGAAGAGAGAAGATGAGAGAGGAGGGGAGGAGAGGTGGAGATTAGAGCAGAAAACCCACGGTGCATCTTAAAATAGTTTTTCACACCAGCCTCTTTTTTGATGCAGTGTTTTTTTTGGTGAGTCCTGTCAGATTCCTGTCATGACCACCAGAGGGCGTTTGAAAGTCTCAGAGCTCCAAGAGGGTCTGTCCCAGTGCTGCAGGTGAGTGTTTAATCAGAGAGGAATGTCTGCCCGCTGTGCACTGCGCTAATGCTAATGCTAATGCTCCACGGGGCCCCAGGAGGAATGCGGCGAGGCTGGACCCAGGACCCGCTCCTGTCACTGGGGACTGCACCACATTTCCAGGGGCCATTAGAGGAAGCACTAACACGGTCTGGGTGATTCATACATGACGCAGTACCAAGTTGATGGGTTCACACGTCATAACATGCAAACCATCTTCAAATAGGTAGATGGCAGGTGAACAAAGCTCACTTATAAAGCAGTAGTTTCCTTTTACCTTTAGTTCAGTAAAGATTGGCAGTTCCAGGGCTGAAATCATCCAAATGATTCTAGTAAAGGTGTGTGGAGTTTAAAAACACAGTGGCGATGAGTGATGAATGTTTTGTGTTTGAGAGAAGAAACCAGCCTAAATCTTCAGGGTTTGTGTGTTAAACGTGTGAAAGAACCTAAAACAACTCCAGGCTTGTTTGTGATGAGGAAACTACATTGGAACCTACAGTAGATCAGAAAAATGGGTAAAATGACCTTTAACTGTCACAATGCAAATATTTGGTCCTTTGTGTTACTGTCTCTGTTACTACTTCTCAAAAATGTTCCACAGAGATTCTGAGTGGGCTCGCCTGTCGACAGACCTGACCTGTAACATAGTCTGATGGCATCATCTACTTGATGAGTTTAACATTATATTGTGGAACATTCCAGGCAATTGTGTACATCCTACATCTTTAACATGGTAAGTACTGATCTCATCAGCAGTGGATTTTCTGATTGGACTTTTCCCATAAAGGCACACAGAGCCCTGCCCTCCACCTGAGATCATAAAGTCATCTACAGTAACAGAGAAGCCCCTCCTCAGATCAAATACACCTAAAGACTGTGTGCTCTGGAGCTGTGTTGCTATGGAAACAAAGTGCTGGAGCTACACCTTTTCATGCGCTGTCCTCTCTGTGCTTTCTCTCCTGCGTCCTTCTGTGCCTCCTCCAGTCCTGCTCACATTCACATGTTTTATTCATCCTGATGCATATCTCATATGACAGTGACGTGTTCATGGCTTTTCACTGCGCCTCAAATCACAGTAACTGCAATCTGAAGGCATGTTCTGTCCAAAACAAACACAAGACCTCCTGTGGGGGGGGGGGGGGGGGGTCCTTAGGCAAGACACTTCACTTTCATCGTCTAGTCTGAAAGTGGTGTGTGTGTGTGTGTGTGTGTATGTGTGAGTGATGGTGGTGGTCAGATGGTGCAGTTTGGCAGCTGTGTTTCTGTCAGACTGCCCCAGGGCAGTTTTGACTATAGTAATAGTTTATCACCACTGAGAGAGGAGTGAATGAATAATGCTCTGTAAAGTGTCTATGAGTGTCCAGAAAACATATGCATTATTATTATTATTATTATTATTATTATTATTATTATTAGTTACCTGTGGTGTGGCTAGCAGCACACTGAGCACCCAGGCGGCAGCGAGCATGCGACGATTGCGTTGGTGTGCACTGAGCGCGTGCAGAGGGCGCAGAATAGCGTGCTGCCGGTCCAGGCTAATGACGATGACCACATGTGCAGACGCGTGCATGCACAGCAGCTTCAGAAAACACAGGAGTTTGCACAGAACAGCGCCCCCTCTCCACTGCACTGTGATGTTCCACGCCGCGTCCATGGGCATGACCAATAGCGCCCCCATTAGGTGAGCCCCGGCCAGGCTGAGCAGCAGGGGACGCAGGTGAGAGGCCAGACCACGCGTGCGCCACACGCTCACCAGCACACACGTGTTACTGAGGGCGGCAAACACACACAGCACCAGTGTGGCCACCACGCGACACTGCGCCGCCACTGTGAACTCAGGCACCGCCCACCCATGCTCAGGCACCGCCCCCACCGAGCTGTTCACAGGTGTTCTCCCAGTGGGTGTGGTCACCGGAGGAAGGACCAGGAGGTCACCTGACATCTGTAACAGACAGGTGCAGACACAGCGAGGACAGAGTTACAGTGAAGTTGACATTAGGAGCAAGGTCCCCTTCCCCCAGTACAGGTAGAGTCTCTACTCTTAGGCCCAACCAAAGTCCAGTCAGTCACTTGTTTCTGTGTCCTTCTTTTACCCTGTCATCTACTTCTCAAACTGTCCACTATATTTGCTGCTCTTCCCCTTATGCGGGTCTTGTCCCTGTCCACTTGTCTCCTGTCTCCCTGTCCTCTTGTCCACGTGTGTAGGTCCTCTTTTGTGGCCCTGACACTGAGATAAGGCGCTCACTGAAAACAACAGTGATGCTAAAAGTGTTTCCATGACGACAGGTCAATCCACAGACAGGAAGAGGCAAGGCATGACAGTCCTTGCACTATCTGTGTCCTCTGCCCTGACCTTCATCAGATAAGACCTATGGACTCTTCAGTCCTGTCTGTCCTGTCTTTCTGTCCAATTGTCCTCCAGCCCCTCTCCTCTTCATCACCCCGTCTACCCCCGTACAGCACAGTATAACAGTACTGTTACTTGAGTAAGTTATGGTTTTATGGTTTCTCTTCCCACTGTGAGTAAGTCTACAGGTAACAAAAACTTTATGTTCCAGAGAATAACAAAAATGACACAGATATCAGCAGAAAACCAGCGTGTGGGGCTCTTCTGCACAACAGATTTCTTCAGCCATGGCCAGTTCTATGTTGCTGCCAGCAGAGTTTTTAGATCAAATAAACTTTGAATTCTTGGGCTAGATGAAGAAACTAATAAAAATTATTCAATTTCTGAGTAATATAGTTTATAAAAGCAGCTTTTAAAGAAGTCACAATGTAAAACATACTCTCAATCTCTGACACACAGTACAAACCCCTCCACAATCTGACCCATTTTTATTTGTGCTCTTCTAATAAAATCCACAGCTTTATTTTATTAGTGTCCACCTGTCCCCCTGGCTCCCTGTCACCCTGTCCACTTGTCCATTTGTCCACTTGACTGTCTTCTTATAATCAAACAGAACATTGCAAACCAAAGCCTTCCTGACCTCTCATTGATAAATTACTTTGTTGCATACCAGTAATAGAGTGTACATCTCCTGTTGTCATGGCGACTAAGGACAGAGCATTAGCGGAGAGTTAGCATATTAGCAGCTCTGACTTCTCTGTGTGTGTTAATGATGAGAGCCAATAATGAGGAAGAGGAGGTGGATATGAATTGCTAACAGATGTAAGCTGCCTTACTTAAAATGATCATATAAAATCATCATTTATTTTTGAATGTTTGCATTATTTAAAGGTACATTTCATAACTTTTCTGGCCTGACACCATGGACATGTCATTGGTTTGCCTAGAATGCTCCACACCTGGCTGATTTTAATAATGAGATTGTGTTCAAAGTTCCCATTTTAAAAAGTTTTATTTTTTTTATTTTTTTTTTTTACTTCTGAGTGGTAAGACATTATACATTTTTATCTTCGTGTTGCCTTTTATTGTTTTGAAAATGTTATATTCACTTAAAACCACATATGTTTTAAAAGCAGCACTTTTATTTTGACCTGATAAGGCTGTTAAAAGTCATATATTAATCCATACTAAATAGATACTCAATACTAAAAAAGTATTTTCCTGAAAGTCTTTAGAATGATGTAGAGCTGTATCAGAACAAGTAGAAGAGCATGTAGACTAGTATACACACATGGACCAACATGTTTGGTCTACTGGACCACTGAGGATTACACACATAAAAGGACACATGGGAATAGAAAAGAAAGTTCTGTGGTTTAATGTTGAAAATCACATTTAATTGGCTAAATAAAAAGTGTTTTTTAAATTATCATCGTGGTAATGGAATTGAGTATCGCGTCTGTTCCAAGTTTGAAATTTTAATATTGTGACATTACCAAGACTACCTGATACTAATTGTACTTGTTAGGATCATACTTTTACTTTAGTACTGTAGTTTTAATTGTACTCTAGTGTTGTGGCTGCAGCCCTGTGCGTCAGAGGAGCACATCTATTCTTTTATCACAAACGACACACGGCTGTGCTCCGGCTAAAAATAGCCCCCGAGCTGCAACCTGAGAATAGCCCCTCCCCTTACACTTCAACACAAATCTGATCTTTACACAATATTACAGTAACATTTATGTCATTCACCCACAAACTCTAGAACCCATTTTATACCTAATTAGACACACTTATTACTTATTTTCATATGAAACAATGACAACAATTGACATTTATTTGCTATTTAATGTCAAAGGGCCCACATTACACTGTTTTCTGATCTATATTATAATCATTGAAGACATGTTCAGCACACAAACCGGGCACATTTACCTTAGCTCTTCTCTCAAACAGAAAACACACTGTTCCTCCATGTGATGGCAATGCAGGAAATGCTCCACTGTGTTTTTGAACTCCATATACCCACACTAGAATAATTTCAGTCATTTCAGTCTTGGAATTGCCAATCTCTACTGAGCTACATTTAAAAGGAGCTGCAAACTTGAAAACTACACCTTTATGACATCACAATGTGGAACACAGACTAATAATAAAGAATTACAAGAGTCAATTTTGTATAATGTAGAGCCTTGTACCTCAAAAATGCTTACAGTGCCCACAGACTGACAAAGAAAAAGTCCCCCCCAACCCCCTGCACCCCTGCACATGCTGCCTGTGCTACTTCAATGTCACTTTTACCACAGAGCCTCTACAAATAGAACAGCATCTGCAAACATCTATTATTTGGTATAAACCTAGCTGAGTGCTGGTTTAGTCCTGGTTTATTCCTGGTTTAGTTCTGGTTTAGTTCTGGTTTAGTCTTGGTTTAGTCCTGGTTTAGTCTTGGTTTAGTCCAGGTTTAGTCTTGTTTAGTCCCGGTTTAGTCCCGGTTTAGTCCCAGTTTAGTCTTGGTTTAGTCTTGGTTTAGTTCTGGTTCAGTCCTGGTTTAGTCCTGCTTTAGTCCTGCTTTAGTTCTGGTTTAGTCCTGGTTTAGTCTTGGTTTAGTCCTGGTTGGTTTAGTCCAGGTTTAGTCTTGTTTAGTCCCAGTTTAGTCCCGGTTTAGTCTTGGTTTAGTCTTGGTTTAGTCTTGGTTTAGTTCTGGTTCAGTCCTGGTTTAGTCCTGCTTTAGTCCTGCTTTAGTTCTGGTTTAGTCCTGGTTTAGTCCTGGTTTAGTCTTGGTTTAGTCCTGGTTGCTTTAGTCCAGGTTTAGTCTTGTTTAGTCCCGGTTTAGTCCCGGTTTAGTCTTGGTTTAGTCCTGGTTTAGTTCTGGTTCAGTCCTGGTTTAGTCCTGCTTTAGTTCTGGTTTAGTCCTGGTTTAGTCCTGGTTTAGTCTTGGTTTAGTCCTGGTTGGTTTGGTCCTGGTTTAGTTCTGATTTATGGCTTTACCTGATCAGCGACTCAGCTCAGAAGTGCTGTTCATGTCTCAGTCTAAATGTGCAGGCTCTAGGGCTTCAGAACATCAGGAGAGGAGATGGTCTGGACTCAGTGGAAATGGTCTGGACTCAGTGTAGAAGATCTCGAAAGCAGAGAGAGTGAAGCTGAAATGGAAATGCACCTGCTTCTGCAGTGAGCCAGAGGGAAGGATGGGTGGGGCTTAGTGCCAGAGCGAAGGAATAGAGCAGGAGAGAAGGATAGGAGGAGGTGAGGAAAAGGGAGAGGAAAAGAGAGTGAGATGAGAGAGAGGGTGACGAGGAGAGAGTGAGGACAGAAAAGGAGAGGAGCGGTGGAGACAGGGAGGGGAAAAGGAGGAGACAGGGAGAGGAAAGGGATTGATAGGAGAGGAGAGAGAGGAAGAGGATGAGAGCAGGAGAGCGGGATGAGGGTTCAGTCTCACTCTGCAGGACAGTTTACAACAGAGTGAGATGTGCTGATGAAGCTGCACAGCACACGCCTGCATTTCCTCTGGAAACTCAGAGAAGTAAACCAGAACTAAAGCAGAACTAAACCAGGACTAAACCAGGACTAAGCCAGGACTAAACTTAACCAGGTCTTAAACAGGACTTACTAAATAATGAATCTGTATGAACCCAGAGCAGACAGTGTTAGTCTGCTGAGAGTGGAACATGAGGGCAGCGCCCTCTGCTGCGCACTGCGTCCAATTACAGCAACAAGCTGGAGCTGGAGCCGAGCATACCCGTGATGGAGCTTTGTTCTCTCTCTCTCTCTCTGTCTCTCTGTCTCTCTGTCTCTCTGTCTCTCTCTCTCTCTCTCTCTCTCTCTCTCTCTCTCTCTCTCTCTCTGTCTCTCTGTCTCTCTCTCTCTCTCTCTCTCTCTCTCTCTCTCTCTCTCTCTCTGTCTCTCTGTCTCTCTCTCTCTCTCTCTCTCTGTCTCTCTCTGTCTCTCTCTCTCTCTCTCTCTCTCTCTGTCTCTCTGTCTCTCTCTCTCTCTCTCTGTCTCTCTGTCTCTCTCTCTCTCTCTCTCTCTCTCTCTCTCTCTCTCTCTCTGTCTCTCTCTCTCTCTCTCTCTGTCTCTCTCTCGTCTCTCTCTCTCTCTCTCTCTCTCTCTCTCTCTGTCTCTCTCTCTCTCTCTGTCTCTCTGTCTCTCTCTCTCTCTCTCTCTCTCTCTCTCTCTCTCTCTCTCTCTCTCTCTCTCTGCTCTCTCTCTCTCTCTCTCTCTGTCTCTCTCTCTCTCTCTCTCTCTCTGTCTCTCTCTCTCTCTCTCTCTCTCTCTCTCTCTCTCTGTCTCTCTCTGTCTCTCTCTCTGTCTCTCTCTCTCTCTCTCTGTCTCTCTCTCTCTCTGTCTCTCTCTCTCTGTCTCTGTCTCTCTCTCTCTCTCTCTCTCTCTCTGTCTCTCTCTCTCTCTCTCTCTCTGTCTCTCTCTCTCTCTCTCTGTCTCCTCTCTCTCTCTCTCTCTCTCTCTCTCTCTCTCTCTCTCTGTCTCTCTCTCTCTCTCTCTCTCTCTCTCTCTGTCTCTCTCTCTGTCTCTCTCTCTCTCTCTGTCTCTCTCTCTCTCTCTAACTTTTTCCCTCTTTAAGTTTATGGAATCGTGTAGGTTTGTGGCCATACCGGCTTGTCAAAGCCTGATCCGTCAGATCTCAGAAGCTCAGCCGGGCTGAGCCTGGTTAATACTTGAATGGGAGACCACTGAAAAAATCAAGAGCCACAGGGGGGCCCCGTTTGTAAAAACTGTCACTGTGTCCTTGGGCAAGACACTACACCCACATTGCCTAGTATGAAAGCAATGAGTGCATGAGTGTTGGTGGTGGTGGTCGGATCTGATGGCACAGATTGACAGTCTCGCTTCTGTCAATCTGCCCCAGGGCAGATGTGGCTACAATAGTAGCTTACCTTCATCAGATATGGAGTGAATGAATAATGATCTGTAAAGCGTCTTTGAGTGTCCAAAAAAGCATAAAATTAACTGATGCATTATTATTATTATTATTAGCAAAGAAAAAGTTAAAAGTGTTAAAAAAACTCAACTAAATATTCTGAATATTTTATACTCAAATCCTCCCAGTATCTTTGCTTTGTGGACAGTGCTGCAAACCTAAACCATGAAGTCTCCTGAAATGTTTTTTCATTTCACAGCTGTGCCATGTCAAGGTGAAGAAATACCCAAACTGCAAAGCAGGGTTCTCATATTGAGTTTATCTTTTTGTTTGTTACATTCCATTTGTGTCAATTCTTGAGAGTGAAAATGTCATTTTCTGTTTTGTCCTGCCCTCAAAATTACAGAGATCTTTCTCAGTTGCTTTGGTTCTTTTGCATTCACTTAGTGCTTTTGTCAGAATAACCTGGATGGTTCAGCACAACACCATGGATCACCTGCAAAAGCTCAGATCTGTCCCAAAACACTTTACCCATGTGTCAAAACTAAATTCCTTTGTCATAGAAATAGTCCCTCCATCCATCCATTTTCTTCCACCTTCTTTCTTCTTCCCCGAGTCGTTCCCAGGCCAGCCGAGAGACATAGTCCCTCCAGCGTGTCCTGGGTCTTCCCCGAGGCCTCCTCCTGGTGGGACATGCACGAAAACCTCCCGAGGGAGACGCCCAGGAGGCATCCGGAACAGATGCCCGAGCCACCTCAACTGGCTCCTCTCGATGTGGAGGAGCAGCGGCTCTACTCCGAGCGCCTCCCATGTGACTGAGCTCCTCACCCTATCTCTAAGGGAGCGCCCAGCCACCCTGCGAAAAAAACTCATTTGTGCCGCTTGTATCCGTGATCTCGTCCTTTCGGTCACTACCCAGAGCTCATAACCATAGGTGAGAGTAGGAATGAAGACTAAATTGAGAGCTTAGTCTTTCGACTCAGATCCCTCTTCACCACAACGGTCCGATACAGCGACTGCATCACTGCAGATGCTGCACCGATCTGCCTGTCAATCTCACGCTCCATCCTCCCCTCACTCGTGAACAAGACCCCAAGATACATGAACACCTGCACTTGAGGTAAGGACTCTCCACCCATCTGGAGAGGACAAGACACCTTTTTCTGGTCGCGAACCATGGAGGTGATCTTCATCCCAGCTGCTTCCAGTGCACATTGCAGGTCCTGGCCTGATGAAGCCAACAGGACAACCCTGACTGCGCCTAGAAATTCTGTCCATAAATACAATGAACAGAACCGGTGACAAAGGGCAGCCCTGGTGGAGTCCAACATGCACCGGAAACAGGTCTGACTTACTGTCGGCAATGAACACAGCTCCTGCTCCGGTCACACAGGGACCGGACAGCCCTTAGCAAAGGACCCCGGACCCCAGACTCCCAGAGCACCCCCCACAGGACACCACGAGGAACACGGTCACACAGAGCAGCCCCACCAGGACACCACGAGGTGAGGCCAACTATATCTAGTCGGTAGCGCTCAACCCCCCGCACAAGCTCAGGGTCCTTCACCCCCAGTGAGGTGACATTCCATGTCCTCAGAACTAGTCTCCATGTCAGGAGATCCTGTCGGCAAGGCCCCCGCCTTCGACTGCCACCCAGATCTCTCTGCACCAGGCCCATATGGATCCTCCTGCAGGTGGTGGGCCCATGGAAGGGCGGTGCCACGCTGCTCGTTTGGGCCGTGCCCGGCCGGGCCCCCTGGAGGAAGGCCCGGTCACCAGACGCTTGCTGTTGAGCACCCACCCCAGGCCTGGCTCCAGGGGGGCCCCAATAACGTCAATCCGGGCGATGTAACTGGCCTCCATGTGGACATCATCATAAGGGACTTCTGAACCGTTCTTCATCTAACCTGTCCCCCAGGACCTTTTTGCCTTGCCCCCGACAACATAGCTTCCGGGATCATTCAGACACTCAGACTCCTCCACCACGATAAGGTGATGGTTCAAGGAGGGGTAGAAATAGTCATAGCCCTCAAAATGCATCGTCCATTTGGCCTTGTGTCAGCACTGCAGGTCAAAAGGCTAAGATGTTTTGTCACTATGGCAGAGGTCGAACTAACACAATACAATTATGGATAAAACTGAAAAAAATATATTCACAGTAAGATCAGCCTCCAAAGTTTGACATCACACACACTGCTCTCACACTGCCAAGAAAACTCTAATAATTTTATTCACACACATAAAGTCACTTTCACACATCAGAGTACAGAAAAAGAAAGCATATACAGTATTCTGTACATGTACCAAATATAAACACAAACCAAAAAAAAACCAAGTTGTAATCGCATCTTTCCAAACGTGTTCCTGGTTTGTGACGTAACGTGAATAGAACCTATAGGGTATTACTGCTCAGAGCTATCTTGAGTTGCTGTAGTGGCCACTCACACACTTCAGTGAAAAACTTTTTCTCATGTAATCACAAAACCTTTTACCTTTTAGATCATAAACTTTTTCTCAGCTCAAAGTCCTTCAGTTGTCTTAAAAACAGCTTTTTAATCATTACTTCCGGCTCCACTCTAGCTCTGATTGGTCAAAGTGAATACGTGATACACAAGACTGCGCTCCTTGTGCATGCTCATGTGCTTTGGCGTGTGCCCACAGGAGAACGCACAGATTTGCATGTTCAATTGGCAGGGAGCCACCAGAACCTAGACATGCACCACTGAGCTAGGCCCTTTGACTTGAATAGGTGCCAGATTCAAGTTTCTTTAAAAAATGCCAAAAATTCCCACCAAATGCATGGATGTGACGGAGTTGACCGAAAACTGGAGTTGTCAAAATGAGTGAACTCTACTGAAAACTGAACAAATATGTTTGGATCGAAATGAAAACAGATACCACATGTTTAACACTAACAACACTTCACAGGACTGACTATTATTTCACTTCTAACCATCAAAATCATTACAGGAAAGGAAAGCCCACTCTCCTCCTCCCTCAACTCCCAACTCCCCGTCTCTCAGTCACTTTGAAGTGCCGGTGTGTGTGTGTGTGTGTGTGTGTGTATATATGTATACATATATATATATATATATATATATATATATATATATATATATATATATATATATATATATATATATATATATATATATATATATACATATACACACATACACATACACACGCGCACACACATTTTTAGGAAGTGTCTTTTCAGTGTTCAGGAGCTGATTGGTGGAGGAGAAAAGGAAGCATGTGTCAGCTGTCAGTGACTCACGACGTCCAGTGTGTTCCATGTATCTCTTGTCTCAGTCTCTGTCTTTATGTCTCCAGCTCTCTGCAAGCCTGGTTGTCCCACTGTCCCTCTGCATCCTACTGTCCCTCTGTTTCTCTCTCTGTCCTCGGTAGGAACATGAATCCATGGGTGTTGGCTCTCCTGCTCTCATCAGCCTCAGGTCAGTACACTTACTCACTCAACTATGGAGTAAGAAAGCTTTCAGAAATGTTTGTGCATAGAATAGAAATCTGTGCGTATTTGGGAATTCTGTGCATATTTGGCTGTAGTTGTGCATAAAATAAATATTCATAAACTCTCGAATGAGTCCAGTCGTACATAAAATATATTGTGTGTATTTTATCCATCAGAATACGAATTGAAAAGTTACAACATCAAGAATTACAATTATGAAATGAAAATTTAAGATTACGCTTACATCAGTACGAACACGAATTCACACACAGGACTTTACTGTCAAAAATACATCATCACTTCACAGACATTATTTATCGAGCACAAGAAACATCAATCGAGATCAAGACTGCCATCCATCCTTCCATCCATTTTTTCTCGCTTATCCGGGGCTGGGTCGCGGGGGCAGCAGTCTAAGCAGGGACTCCCAGACTTCCTTCACCCCAGACACGTCCTCCAGCTCTTCCGGGGGAACCCAGAGGGGTTCCCAGGTCAGCAAAGAGACACAGTCCCTCCAGCGTGTCCTGGGTCTTCCCTGGGGCCCCCGTCCAGAGGGACATGCCTGGAACACCTCCCGAGGGAGGCACCCAGGAGGCATCCGGAACAGATGAATGAGTCACCTCAGCTGGCTCTTCTCGACGTGGAGGAGGAGGACAACAAGGTGTGTTGAGCTCCTCACCCTATCTCTAAGGGAGCGCCCAGCCACCCTGCAAAGGAAACTTATTTTGAGCGCTTGTATCCGCGATCTCGTCCTTTTGGTCACTACCCAGAGCTCATGACCATAGGTGAGAGTAAAAGGGAAGACTGACCAGTAAATTGAGAGCTTCGCCTTTCGCCTCAACTCCTGCTTCACCACAACGGTCTGATACAGAGTCCGCATTACTGCAGAAGCTGCACCGATCCGCCTGTCAATCTCACGTTCTGTCCTCCCCTCACTCGTGAACAAGACCCCGAGATACTTGAACTCCAGCTGCTTCACACTCGGCTGCAAACCGTCCCAGTGCACGTTGCAGGTCCTGGTTCAATGAAGCCAACAGGACAACATCATCTGCAAACAGCAAAGATGAGATCCTGTGGTCCCCAAACCAGACCTCCTCCGGCCCCTGACTGCGCCTAGAAATTCTGTCCATAAATACAATGAACAGAACCGGTGACAAAGGGCAGCTCTGGCGGAGTCCAACCTGCACCGGGAATAGGTCTGATTTACTGCCGGCAATGTGAACACAGCTCCTGCTCCGGTCATACAGGGACCGGACAGCCCTTAGCAAAGGACCCTGAACCCCATACTCCCAGAGCACCACGAGGAACATGGTCGAATGCCTTCTCCAGATCCACAAAGCACATGTGGACTGGTTGGGCAAATTCCCATGAACCCTCGAGCACCACGACCAGGACGAAAACCACACTGCTCCTCCTGGATCCGAGGTTTGACTCAGATCCCACCATCACGACTTCATCACCTCCTCGGAAGTCGTGACGGTGGGATTGAGGAGATCCTCAAAGTTGTCCACCACTAGACAATGTCCCCAGTAGAGGTCAACAGCTCTCCCCCCCGCACTGTAAACAGTGTTGGTGAAGAACTGCTTCCCCCTCCTGAGGCACAAGATGGTTTGCCAGAATCTCTTTGAGGCCATCCGATAGTCCTCCTCCATGGCCTCCCCAAACTCCTCCCAGCTCAGAGTTTTTATCTCAGCGACCGCACAGGCTGCACCCATCAGCTGCCTCAGGGGTCCCACGAGCCAACAAGACCCGATAGGACTCCTTCTTCAGCCTGACGGCATCCCTTACTTTTGGTGTCCACCACCGGTTTTGGGGATTACCACCACGACAGGCACCACAGACCTTACGCCCACAGCTCTGAGCGGCCGCATCGACAATAGAGGCTGAGAACGAAGCCCACTCGGACTCCATGTCCCCAGCCTCCCCCGGAATTTGGGAGAAATCTGGTCCAAGAAGTCAGAGAGTTGAAAGTCCCTCTGACAGAGGGCTCCGCCAGATGTTCCCAACAGACCTTGTGGGTTTATTTTCTTTCATTGATACTTCACTGTTAATTGAATCATATCAAAATGTTTCTTGTTATGTTTTCTTTTGGTTGCTGCCCTAAATCAAGGTCCAAAGGGGGGCGTATGTGAACCTGGTAGCCTGATCAATATGTCTGCAAAATATCCTGCAAAAACAAGTTTTATCAATATGTATGTGGACTTTCTTGCTAAAATGAGCTAATCATTAAGTTAATATTTCAACAAGATGTCATGTATCAGAGCTGTCTACTCTGCTGTCATTCAGAGACGCTGGCCACCGAAATCCTGTAATAATTTGAATTGAGTTCTGTAAGTTGCCTGCGCTAAAATAAAGAGATCGTAGATTTTTCCATCTCCTGAGGTTTTTTGCTTAAGAATTACTTGCGTGTCGCGTCTGGGAAAACTGACAATTTGGTGACCGCCGACGTGATAACGTCACCCAGACATGACCTAGATTAGACGCAACAAAATCAATACACCAGTCTCCCACAAATTTCCTGAAAAGAACATCACAGAAGAACGCGTTCAACAAAGAAGCAACCAGACAGCGACCTTTTTCTCCATAACTCTGTCTATTTGGTAGTTATAAACAAAAAGAAAAAGTGATTTTGCTTTTGGGACTTTTGTGCTATTTTAAGTGTGTGTGAGTGTTAATTTTAAAAGAACTGTAAAAATTAGTAATTGATAAATAATTGACTGTTAGTAGAATATGTGGCTTTAAAGCCAGGAATCGTGTATAACTTCACGGAAAAAAAAGTTGGTGAATCTAAAAAAAAAACAATAATAGTATGTTTTAGGCTTTAAATAATGTAAAGCATAATTAACAAAGTTAGTAATTAGAAAAGTGCCGTGTTAGGCTTTGCACGAGAGAAAAGGAAAAGCTTTTATAAGAAAACTATGTCTGTGGTTAAAAAAATTTACACAGAAAATAAAAACTAAAATTTTAATTAAGTTTATAATAAAAAGAATAAAACAAGTCGCACACAAACTAAAAGAAAGTAAAAGAAAATAAAGAAAGAAAAATAAACTAGAGCACGAAAGAAAGAGAGACTAAGAAGTAACATTAAGTAAAGAAGCAGTGCTGTGAAAATAAAATCCAAAAATGAGGCAAATGCTATGTTTGTTAGGGTTACTGACTACCCAGATTTTTATTATAAGTGCTAAGTCAGTAGAACAAAGTTATAGTCAAAATAAGCACGAAAGCTCTTGTCATTGTAAGATAAATTACGTATCGATACAACTTATTGGGGTGTTACATATCTCCTGCGGAGCAGAGGATATCGATGTAGTAAACGTAACAGGTAAAAAGGAAGTGATCGCGACCTACTCTCCTCATTACGGTGCTTTGTCGGAAGAGTGTGACTCTGTAAGCGTTATCAAACACCCCCAAAATGACAATACCGACATTAACTTCCAGTGTACGTGGAATAAAAGACCGAAAGAAGCCAAAATGTGATGTGTGTGTGTGTCCATACCCCAAGAAAAAACAGAGACGCATATTGAAAATATTTGCAAAAATAATACAAGTATATACGCTGTAAACACTACTACTAAGGTGAATATAGAAAATGTCACCACAGAAATGAATTTTGTAACCACGTCAGAGACAGACACAGAGGAGAGCGCGTCTAAAATAAATGTCATGCCATTTCCCATAAGATTAAAACTAGTGAAAGCAGATATAGAATCTTAAATTATCGAAATATTATCCACAACACCTGAATTTGTAACTGTCGAACCTACAAACCCATCAACTGAAAGAAGTAATTCTACTGTAACTGACCTACCTCCACAATTTGTAACACTAAATGCTACGTTTGCACGTAATACGACAGATGAATTTTTTAATGACTTAACGACTGCTTTTAATGGATCAGATATAACAAGTCTGTTTGATATCCAATCGATAAAAAATAAAATTAGTACTTTCATGGAGAAAATTACGTCTAGGAACAGGTCATAACCCAATGTACATGCAGGATGCAGATTTGGAGACTATGACTAATAAATTAAGAAGTGAACTATTGAAAGGGTTGTCTGAAAATATAACAAGAAATTTATGTCCCATTAAATATACCACTGAAATATTAAAGGACTTAAAAGGAGAATATGACATGTTAAAAAGTATGGTGGGAAGGAGTTTTGGCTATGCTTTAACTGCCTTAATTTTTTTTTTCTGATTTTAATTAGCATATTAATTATTGCTGTAATTTTGTGTATATGTTTGCCAAAGTTTGTTATAAACGGAGAGCGAGATTTAGATAGAATTATGTTATCACACCATCCTGATTTTGCTTCTGTATCTAGTTGGGATGAGGAAATAATAGATGAAGGCAGCTTAGAAGTTTAACTGGGTAATTTTTGGGGCATAAAAAGATTAAACAAAATAAATAGGTATTTATAAAACAGTGAATTTGACATTTCAAAATTGATTTGCGTCATAACCATATTTGGCCAGTGAGATTATACTAAATATACTGGAGTTGTCCACCTTTGCAGATAGACTATAGAGACTACATTTAAAATTCTTTGGTGACATTTTTTTTAGGTGCACTGACATTATGCCCGTTGGTTGGCATGGCTGAAAATGGCAAATTTGTGTGCTGTTTTTGTTTGTTGTGCGGCTGCTGCTGTGATATTTTGTATGTGTTTTCCTGTCTGTGTTTGTTGCATATGGTGAGCGGCATATAGCGTGCATACGGGGAGGTTAGAGTATGTACGCGGAAAGCTTAAGAGTGTGTGAGGCCTGGGAGGCGAGGACGGCAGAAAGAATTAGTAAGTTGATAAGTGGGTATGCGGTGTATAATATGAGTTTATGGGAATTCAGAAAAGTTGACGAGAGGGAGGTGCGACGTGTGCTGGAGAAGTGTGAAATGAATGAGGGTGTGATGAATCATGGAAATAAGCAAGTCGGTATGAAGGTGTGTGAAGTGGGTCAGCAGAAATGTAGTAGGAATTAAGTAAG